TGAGAAAGCTGATGTCGAATCGACGTCAATTCAACGTCGATTCGCCGGAAACTCATCGACATCGAAATTAAGATAAAAAATCAGCTGATTTCAATCAAATTGTTTTGGCATCATGAGTTGAAATAAGATCCGACTATGAATACCGGCCATAGTCTCTTAATTTTAGACAAAATTTTTAGAGTTTTGGACACAAGTAACGAAGTAACTTAGAAAGAAGCAACTTGATGCCAAAACAATTTGATTGAAATCGGCTGATTTTCAATGTCAAATTCGATGTCGATAAGTCATCAATTCGATATCAATTTTGTAAGAAATATATATATATATATATATATATGACCCTATTAAGAGCTGACACCTTCCGTACGTCTGTTAACAATAAGTAACGTCTTCATCAATCAATGTTGTAGCACAGTGCGGAAGGTTACTGACTCAAGAGCCAGGGGTTTCAGGTTCAAATCCAGCGGTGGTAAACAAATTTTCTAACAATAAAGCGGGGAGCACACATTTCTGCACAAGGCATAATGCGTAAGCATAAGAAAACTGATTGGTTCATATTGTTACGCTCGGCCGTACGTCTCACGCCACTCACACTCACTCAATCACTGGCGGCTCGCGGAAAGCAAGGAAGGACACTCTGATGTTAGAAACTCGTTTATTATTATAAAATACAACGACAGGGCAGACACGTTCGTTCGGTACGAAAGCCCAGATTCAAATCTGACTCGCGTCGCTAATCAACAACTGTTGCCACGGGGCGCTTCTCACTTCACGTCCGACTCGCGTGTACCGGGCGTCTCAGCACGGGCGTAACACTGCCCTTTTCTTCTTTAGATTGTCGTCCCGACAATCTAGGGGACAGTGTTCCAACAGTTTCTTCCCAACGTTCCTCCATTCTCTTCTTCAGGAAACAGTCCCCAACCGGCATCCCTCGGAGAGCTCGAAATCTTCGGACAAGGGGAGGGGGGAACTTCCCGAGGACCCAACGTTTGTAGAAACTCCCCAAGTCCCCGCCTCGGCATTCGCCCAAGTTCCACGAAAAACCTCGGTCGAAAACCGTGGGAGAGGCGGGCTTCTTCCTGCCCCTCTTGTAGCCCTAACTCATAGGACTCATAGGAGCTATCCTGAAGTCCGTCCATGCAGGACACCTTGAGCTTCTTCCTGCTCCTCTTGTAGCTCTAACTCAAAGGACTACGGAGCTATCCTGAAGTCTATCCATGCAGGACACCTTGAGTTTCCTTCCTCCGGCTCCAGGGCGACTTTCCCTCGCCGGGTTTCCACCGGATGAGTCCGCAGAACTCTCCCCGCTTCTGCCGAAAAACACCATCTTCTTTCGTACATCAGCTGGATCGTGAGTTTTTTCTCGAAGGTACACCGTGGCCACCTGATCCCAAGATTCCCTCTTCAGAAATCCTTCCACTGCCCATAATTCGCTCTGCAAACGTAATAATACACGGCAACAAATAGAACAAATTAAAATTCTCAACTTATTAAATATACATTTTCCAGGCTCTGTTTCTTAGCTTTACACCACCCTTCTTTCATGAAAAGTTGCACTGAGGGAAAAATTTTATTGAATCAACAAAACAATTTTGCTTGGCAACATACAATCTTCCGGTTTTATTAAATTAACAAAACAATTTTGTTGATTTTTTAATTTATTGATCCAATTATTTATTTTATTGAATTAAGTACACGTCTATAATTTGAACAAAATGAAATAATTGAATTCTAAAAATGGTATCATACAAAATCATTTTCTTCAAGTTAATTATCAATTTTGTTAACTCAATAAAATAATTTTGTTGAACCAAGAACATTAACGTTTTTAAAAATAGTAAATTTATTCAAAGAAATATTTAGTTATGTTATATTATGTATAATTGATAGTATAAAATATTTATTAAAAAGAACAAATCAATATAGTCAACAAACAAAATAGTCAAAAAGAACAAAAGAACAAAATATTTTGTTAAACCAATCAAATCATCTGCTTGGCAACATACAATCTTCCGGTTTTATTAAATCAACAAAATTTTTTTTGAAAAAAATGATTATTTCTCTCAGTGTGCCAATCTATCTGCGTGAACAATTTTACTACGATGTCTGAGGGACTTTCGAATGCAATACACAACCTCGTTTAACTTTTTTACCACAAAGAAGGGCCCCTCTCAATTGCTTTGCAATTTAGGAGCCTTTCCCTTCATTCTTCGAGGATTAAAAAGCCACACTTCTGACCTTCTTGGAATAAAGTATGCCTAACTCTACAATCATAGCGAGTCTTTGTGCGTGAAGATTGAAACAGAAAATCAGCAAAAAACTTTTTTTTAATATTATTAAGATTTTCAGAATTTTTAATAAAAAGTTTTTTTAGAATAAAAGGGACTTCTTCCGAAGACGTTTCTATACAAGCACAATTAACGACTTCCTCATCATGAGATTCAGAATTATCAAAAGCGAAATCAAAAACATTTTCTAAATTAATTCTTTTAAGGAAATCCGCTCCGAGCAGACAATCGTCATGAATTTTAGCAACAAACATAGGAATCTCTGATGAATACTTCCCAATTTGAACTTCTACTAAAACTTTACTTTTAAAACATACTTTTTCTCCAGTAGGAGATCTGATGATATCTAAGATTACAACCCTTTGTCTCTAATTTCTCTTTTCCATCTCTGATAAGCTTTTCATTTACAATAGAAACGTCAGAGCCCATGTCAATTTTAAAGGAACAACTTTTTCCGTCCAACTTTCCCTTATAATAAAAATTCCTATTTCTACAAAAATTATTTTTACTCTTATTTCTATTTTCACAAAAATTAATATTTTTGCAATAAACATCAGAAAATTTCTTCTTATAAAAAAAAATAGTCGGGGAAACTTTCTTGCTGGATTCGCCCCGCCGAACCCAACTACGCCGCGTTTCCCTTCTCCTCAGGACATTCAAATCGGAAGTGTCCTGTCTTACCGCAAGTCTAGCACATTCTCCGACTGGCGCTGATTCTCCGACTTGCTACCGCGCCGTTCCCCGCTCCCGTTCACCTTTTACACTTTTCCTTCCTCCCCCTCACGCTCCTCTCTTTTTTCGTCCGCTCCCCCCTTCTGCGCATCTCTTCTTTCAAAATTCCGATTAAAATTTTCCTTTTTCCTCTCAAAATTCTCCCCCTGGATAATTCTGACGGCTTTTGTTCTCTCCACAGCTAATTTAAGAGAGGTTATTTCTTCTAATTGGAGAGTTCTCTTAATAAAATCGTCGGAGAGCGCCGAAATAAACTGCGCACACGCAATCTTTTCGCGCACCGCAAAAGAGCACTCGGGATACGCGAGGCGAGCAAGTCTTTCCAATTCGGAACCCAAAGTCGCGAAATCCTCACCGAATCTTTGTCTACGGTTCGTAAACTGAGTATAATAATTTTGTGACAGACCTCCCTCACCAAAACAAAGCTCTAATTTAGATTTTAATTCCTCGAAATCAAGGCTCTCTAAATTTTCCACTGACTCTAATACCGCCCGCGCTTTTCCCCTAAGACTCGCGGCCAGCGCAACGGATTTTGATGCGTCGTCCCAATTATTTGTGCGCGCGATGAGAAGAAATTGGGAGAGGAATTCTTGCAGCGGCGTCGAGCCGTCGAACGTGTCGGGCTTCAGCTTGAAGCCCAATTCCGTGCGCGCACAATTTCCGGGCGTTTCTCCCGCGGCGGCTCGCGCTCTCACGTCACCGAAATTTCCGCGACCGCGGCGGCCCGCGCTCCCGTATCTCCGGTCGCGTAACATAAAAAGAGACTTAGCTGCAGGAGTTCTCGTCGCTGTGGCCCCGCTTTCTGCTGTCGCAGCAACGCCGCGTACTCCTCACGCATCTGGCGGATCTCCTGCATCATCCGCCTGTAGTGTCACCACTTCCGTCGAGAACTGAGGGGCGCTCGAGCCGGGTCGTATCTCCGTCTCTGTCTCGAGCCGTGGAGCTCTCGGCCTCGGGGTTCCCATCCGCGCTCTCTTTCTTGTCGCGGGCACTGTCGATGGCTCGGTACTCGTCATCAAGTTCCTGGTTTGCTCGTCCGTCCTCGCTCGTCCGATCCCGGACGAGCCCCCAAAATGTTACGCTCGGCCGTATACGTCTCACGCCACTCACACTCACTCAATCACTCGCGGCTCGCGGGAAGCAAGGAAGGACACTCTGATGTTATAAACTCGTTTATTATTATAAAATATACAACGACAGGGCAGACACGTTCGTTCGGCACGAAAGCCCAGATTCAAATCTGACTCGCGTCGCTAATCAACAACCGTTGTCACGAGGCGCTTCTCACTTCACGTCCGACTCGCGTGTACCGGGCGCCGGGCGTCTCAGCACGGGCGTAACAATATACATGTGCATAAGAAAATAGACCAATCAATTTTCTTATGCTTACGCATTATGCGTTGTGCAGAAGTGTGTGCTCCCCGCTTAAGTACAATATAAATTTATTTAATTAAACTTGCACGTAATCAAGATTTTCAGCAATAAAATAATGTTCAACAAGAGAAGTAAATTTTATTTTTTATTTTGTTTGTAGTATATCCAAAAAGTTGTAGTTATTCATAAAAATTCCCAATCAGCAGACAATGTTTTTTAATATTTATTTTTTATTAATTACCCAGTAAGCAAGGAACATTAAATTAACGTTTAGAAATATTGACTTTATGTGTATTTTTTAAACGTTTTTTAATAATAATATACACATATTTGAAAAATATTATTTCGTAATATGATTTTTCTGCATGTTGTTAAAATATTTTGAAAACGTTACAGAAAATATTTTTCAAATGTTACTCTGACATTTATTTGAGATCAATGCAACAGTTCAAAATTCCTTGTAATTTGGACTCAGAAATAACGTTGGTAGTATATTAATTTTCTGTTGTTATAATGTTATCGTTTTATATTGTGCGCAACGCTCATCGCGACAGCCATGATGTACATGATTATCCTACATACGATGCATGAGTGCGTATACACGTGTGTCAATCGAGGAGTGCGGAGTGCTCTTTATTTACAGCATAATTATATATAAGTAGTAACTATTATATTCTAAAAGTTGTATATTAATGATAAGAATTCAATTAACCATATATTATACATGCTATAATTATTTGTGCTATGAATAGTAGCTGGTGATGTAGGATTCATTTTCCGATTTACAAGAGAGATTTACAAAAGAGAGGAAATATCAATTAATTTTTTTACGTTCTATAATAGATTTGTCCTTGGACATTAAAAATATCATCAAGGTTCGTCAATGCTATTATTTCAATGGTACCAAACAGTGTAACTTTCTATAAAATAACCTCAAAATTTAGCGAAATATGTAAATGATAACGTATAAATAAGCTGATACACTATGCATGAAGACGATTTGTTGAAGTATTGTGCGGCTTTAATACATCATTGTTTGCATATATCACTGTAAAAGTAATTTAGTATAAAATTGGTATAAAGTTGATAGATATGTAACAAACGATCAGTACAAACAAGACCAAAACTGACTTTTTATTTATTTCTATATTTTTTTCACATATATGTGCTATAATCACACTCTAAAGTATATAAATAGATTATTGTAAGCCTATTTTATATGTACAGGGCAATGAATATGTCTTAACATATGGGATCAATTGTTGTATCAAATTCAAAAAACCACCATTTGAAAAATTTGACCCTGGCTAAGATAAACATCAGTGAACAATATATTATAAGGAAAACTCTGTACAAGATACTAGAAATGCTAAAAGATGACCAAGAAGCTTTTACACAAGTTGTAAGTAAAGCTACTTATTATAATTAAATTATGTATATATTAAATTACAACCTTTTTCTTATCTAAACTATATTGAATTCCTCTTGTTTTAGAGGCTATTAAACAACAATCCCTTGTAATACAGAGAAAGACTTGGAACACTCTATAATAGAATAGCTTAGATTTGCAAACATCCGTAAACAAAGGAAAAAATCTTAAAAGGTAAAAAAGTAATATAATGTATTTGTGTCTGTTAAGTTAGCACCCTCCATAAAAAACCGGAATAACACATATGCAGAAATTAAGTGCTCTTTATGCGTTAATTATGTGCTCTATTCACGATTTTTGTGCTCGAGCGGTTTCGTGGGAAATTGCAATTGAAACTGAGGGTGCTGGCTTAACGTAAGCTAGCACCCCCACTCATTAAAATTACATATAAAATAAAAAACTCAATATGCTAGAATTATATGCTTTTTATGTGCTTTCAAATGCCTCAAACAAAATTAGTCTATCTGTAATAGTTTAAAAAATATACGCAAAAAAAGATATATATACTACTGATATAAGAATAAAGTATCAGTTAAAATAGAGAAAGCGAAATAATTCTTGTCTTAAAATGTTCCTCGATTAATGTGTTCTCGAAATATGCACAATGAAATTTTCGTGCTTATCCCCTTCGACCGACCTGAACGTGAGTACCCCATACGTACAAGAGTACCTAACCAGTTAAAATACAG